ATCTGGTCAATACATTCTTGAAGCATTGTTGTAGGTATGTCCAAAAAAATATAAACGATTTTAAAACAAATGGTGACTTTCACCAGTATAATACGCGAAATAGAACTAATTTGAGTGTACGACCAACCAGGCTCCAAAAGATAAACCACTCCTTATATGGAAATTGTATTCGTTTTTACAACAAACTCCCAAGCGAAATTAGAGTATTATCACTAAATAAATTCAAAGCCCTCGTTAAACGGAAATTAATCAATAAAGCTTTTTATAAATTTGAGGAATACTTAAATGATCCTAATCCTTGGGATTGATTTGCTCCAGTTCAAACAATTTGTATGACAATACTTGGCGATTAAAAAGAGTGGCGGAAAGTTTCTTGCCAGTTCTTCTTACCCGCTCTACGCCCTTGACTTGCGAACTGGTAGTAAATGTAAATTTACAATTAATTTAACTTGACAATTCGTAAGTGTACTTGTTTACCTACACGAATAAAGATATTTTAAGTTTGAGTTTATTAGAAAGAAAAAAAGAAAGAAAGAAAAAACTTTATTATACACAATATACAGAATATTTAGATACAGTAAAGTACACTAGGATTCCCTGTGTCGTGGGCAGCCAGTCTCTTCCTTTTGACATGTAAACTGTAATTTACTTTATGATTTCTACATAACACAAATTTTTATTTAATCTATTTTTGGACAAGAAGAATATTTTCTGTATCAGCATAGGACAGATTCTATTATTAAAAGGGCCTATTTAGTAGACTATCAGGCACGCGATCACGCTGATCTGGCCGAGAGGCAGCAGGGTCTCCCCTTTCCTAAAAGGGACTTTGTTTAGTTAAAAGGCTCCGCGTCTCCAGCCGGGCCCGGGCGACCATTAGTACGAAAATATCCTCATGATATTTATGGGCGAGTTGGCCGACGACACGAGCGTTAACTCTTGTGCTTTATTAATGTGGATACAGTCCTAAATACGGCGAAACGGTTTGCCTTAGCTCAGTTAAACAGGCTACACAGCCATGTGAATTCTGAGGCAATCCAACCTCTTGACACGACAGGAATAAGACGCTTAGAAATAACTAAACCTTTTGAGTTAATAAACCTAGTGTTGTGAATATAAGCGCAAGTGCGGTATCTCGGACACATGAACACAGTATCAAGCCATTATAGAATATGTACTAATACTTTTAATGAATATTACCTTAGTAGCTATAAGCTTTTCACTAGTATTGTGTAAAATTAAAAAATAAATCAGTGGCGCTACAACCTCTTTAGGTCTTGGCCGCAGATTTCTGAATCTGTTTCATGATCATTTTTTAATCTAATAGGCAAGTAGATGATCAGCCTCCAGTGCCTGACAAACGCCGTCGACTTTTTGAGTCTAAGACATGTCGGTTTTCTCACGATGTTTTCCTTTACCGTTCGAGCAAATGTTAAAATGTTGTAGAAAATTAAGATTGTCAAATAATCTTTATGATATATTTAACAATCTTGTGGCAGAATTTTTCCAGCTGCGATCTGTGCTTGAGGAAATGTCGGATAGCCCCTCCAGAGTATCAAGCTTCAGATCGCACCTGGCTCTTTCTAAAGTCGAGCAGTCAACAAGTGAATGAACCACCGTTCGGTCGGTTCTTTCGTCAGTCGCACGCGGGGCTTGTCTTCAGTTTGAATCTGTGGCCTAATGGTTGTATTGCCACTGTTTTTTAAAGTACATTTGAATTAGTTCCGTTACAATAAAGATCATAAAACCCTTGTAAGACCGAGCTATTTTTTTAAATTTATTGTATACATATTCTGAAATAAAAAAGAAGTTTTTAACAGGGGCGGAAACACAAACTGGACACAGTTTATCTGATCTGACGTCGAACAGATTAAAATAACTTATATACTAAATCCAATGACATATTCATAACATTATAACCATTAAATTCCGGCATTTAAACGTCACAAACCAATTGAAACCGACAAAGAGACTTTTCAAAGAGACTTCTGATTCGAATACAGGATGTATTCCTGTATTATTGTCTAGTATATAATATAGTATGAAGGAGCAAAAAAAACTGTGTGTGTACAAAGTACGCATGTCAGAAGTGAAACTTCTGTGGCAAACTAATCTTTAAGTGTTTTTCATATTTATACAAATCTAAAAGTTTAGATTTCCGATACTTAGAGGGACGGAAAAAGGAAGATATGTTAGGAATTTAATGAATTTAATTGTCATTAAAATATTAAGTGTCGAATAATAAATAATAAATAAATAAAGAAGTTTCACTTCAAAAATCAAGCAAATATAAAATTGTTAGGTTAGCTAATTACGTGATAACTTAAGACAGAAGGTCCCTAATGTAGGGACTGAATTAAGCAACTTGGTATTACAACTTTTTATGGTAGAAGAACTGCGTTGCGAGACTCCCTTTTTTTAACTAGTTATGTTTTTAATGGCATAATATTTATGTACGCCATTTTCGGTTGATTACAACAAACTTTTGTGCAGATTTATAATAATAAACAGATTTATTTCCAACCCACAAATACACAACATTTACAATATTAAACAACAACCTATAGGTATAGTGATAGTAAATAAAAATTAAAACTTTGGTCCCTGTGATACGTGACGTTTTAACAATCAAACAACTATACATTAATAATATAATTATTCATCAACACCAAAAATTAATTTATGATGATGCCATCGCAAGTAGACGAACACATAAAGTCTGTCCCACTATACAAACTAAAACACGTTATATTCAAAAATTCCAATGTTACACAGGCCCCATGTTGTACAATAAGCTGAATAAAATCCTGAATATTTATCCCCTTAATATCTATGAATGTAAAATAAAACTAGTAGAATGGCTAAAAACTCAAAAATATAATGAAATAGAAAACTTGTTTGTTAATATAAAATAATAAAATTAGGCTATTTAAAATTTCTAACTTCAGTTCAAGGTTTAATTTAAATATGAAATCTTAACAATAAATATTAGTTTACATACTTACCTAAATAACGACACTAAATTCATATACCTTATCCAATTTTTTAATTACACTGGAAGGAACTAGCGTTTAAGATACAGGCTAGGCCTAGTTTAAACGCTAATGCTCATAGAAGTATATTATGTATAAGGTTAACCATAATTAATTCAAATTCAAATTCAAAAATCATTTATTCACGTAGGTAACACAATGTACACTTGTGATTCGTCATTAAAGAAATAAATATTAATGCTTCTAATTTTACATTTACTGCCAGTTCTCAAATCAAGGGCGTAGAACGGAAGAGAAGAACTGGCAATAAACTCTCCGCCACTCTTTTTAATCGCCATGTTTTTTTTTTTTTTTACACAACTCTTGTAAGGAGTTGCAACCATTACACCATGTTCCACATGACATTTTAAGTAATTAATAATAATAACATAAATAAAAACAAAGACTTGTCCCCTATCAGCAGGAGGCATGGTGAAATAGGAGCACGCACTTACATTCTCGTGGGAACAACACGCAAACACATAGTCGAAATAATTAACATCACCGCATACACGAATTCAAGTACGACCAGTCACCACAAGTAGCACCCGTTCACGAGTATGACGCATGGCCAGCCATCGGCCCCCTCGCCATATTTTAGGGAGAGAGACAACCCGACGCATGGACGCCGCCACAAGCAATGACATTTAATAGATCCAATTATCGAGAGATACATCTCAACGATTCGTAGCCTAGTGTATGTTTACAATCTTTTAAATGTAAGTACAAAATGTAATGTATTGAGTCAAATTAAGTAATTTTTATTTATTTGTGATAGTGTACCTTTAATGCTGGCAGTATTTCTTCGCTGTATTGCTATACTTATTCGTTAAGCGAGGAAAGCACCAGCTCTAGAGTCACCGGTACTATCTACCAGATGCCAACTTAAATGTTTAATAAGCACCTGTGCACGGCCCAAGAGGCAAGAGTCTCTTCAAACTCCAAAGGAACAGAATAAAAGTTGGAGCCTGCTCTGCGGCCTCGCCAGCTTTTGTGCTTGTCCGAGGGAGGTGAGATCCTATGTATAGTAGCATCACTGGTTGGGCCTCAGATTTCTGTATGTTTCATGTTCATTTGTCAATCTAAAAGGCAAGTAGATCAGCCTCCTGTGCACACGCCGTCAACTTTTTGGGTCTAAGGCAAGCTGGTTTCCTCACGATGTTACTTCACCGTTCGAGCAAATGTTAAAAGCACACATAGAAAGAAAGTCCATTGGTATGATGGGAGCGAACCTACGACCTCAGGGATGAAAGTCGCACGCTGAAGCCACTAGGCCAATACTGCTCTTTACCCTAATTAAGTAGTTAGCGCCATCTTAGATAAAAACACATTAAAACAAAACTGTGAATAGTGGCATCTACCGTATTTCTTGTAAAAAAATTCAATATGTAAAGAAACTATTCACGATACAAATTGTGGATTTTTCGCTTCATGTTAGTCCGGTTTAGTTCGTTTAAGTATGAAGTTATATACTGAGTAAATATTGCCAATTTAGTCGCAGGATAGAAGCAGTTCATAAGAACATAAGGCGCTCTGAAGACAAACTTTCTGCGACCCAAATTGCCGCTTGGTGGCGTGGCAGTCTACGAGAGCATGAGACGGACGTTCCCCCAGGTGTATCATAACTACTAAAGCAAGAGAGACGGAGATCGACGCCAGCAACTACGAACTAAAATGGGGGCAGACCCCACTTGGAATCGGCACACGAAATTCTGTCTGAATTCGTTGACCAAGTCTATTCAGTTTTGTGTATTTTACCGGCCATACATACACTGAGTACGTATACGTTCACTCCCCAAACAGCCGGTGCTGAGCTGTCAAGGCCCTTCAGATTGGACTGGCTGTTGGCAGCGAGATTCCAAAATAAAATTATTGGTTAAAAATAAAACAATTGCACATAAAATAAATGTATTAATACAAAATTCTTAATACTACAAAGTGCTTCTTAATTTTAAAACTGCTATCGTTTCAAGGACACTTCCTCTCCAGTTGACCTTTACCGCCCTCGTCGTACTCTTGGGAAGAGATCCACATCTGCTGGAAGGATCCAATCGAGGCCAAAATCGAACCACCTGTAACACAAATACAATATAAAAACCTAGTACCGTATATGAGAGTTGGGTTAAAAAAAACTCTCACCTATCCACGCCGCAAAGCGCCGCTCGACGGGCGAAGGCGCCGCGTGGGTCTTGAGCCGGTGGGAGGACGGAGCCCTGGCTGCCAGCTCCTTGGCAAGGCGCTCCGTCCAGCCTCCCATGGCTGCAACTCCACCGCACGCCACTACCGAGGCCCACAGAGCGGGCCGAGCGTCTGCGTCGCAGGCTGCTGCTGCTGCGCACGCTGAAAGGACAAACGGGGGCAGAGGCCGAGGTTAAATTAAAAATATTATTACTAAAGGATAGTTCTTTGTGGCGACACCATACAACGTCCATAACTTATGAAAAAATATCAAAGATGGCTGAGATAATAAGAGATTTGTTTTAATTCCTTCTAGGATAAGAAGTAGTCAAGACGAGTCTTCCAACACGCCATTACCGAGGCCCATAGAGCGGGCCGAGACTCTGCGTCGCAAGAGGCAGCTACTGCGCACGCTGAATTGACAAATGGGGGCAGAGGCCTAGATTAAATTAAAAATATTATTACTAAATGATAGTTCTCTATGGGGACACCATAAAACGTCCACAACTTATGAAAAACTATCAAAGATCGCTGTGATAATAAGAGATTTGTTTTAATTCCTTCTAGAATAAGAATTAGTCAAGACGTGTCTACCATCCAAAGTCTTGACTCTTACCCTAAGACCAACTCACCTAAGTGGGGTGCTCCTAACGACTGCTCAAATAAGCATTCGGTGAGTTTGAACCTCTCAGGACCAAAGTCCTGATGATAGCCCCCGGGGAACTCATGATGCACCCCCGGTACTACAGCAGCTGTCCGTTCATCATATGCTATTTCCGATACCTGGAGATTTATGAGATTATTTTAATTTTAACATTTACTACCAGTTCGCAAGTCAAGGGCGTAGAAGCAAGAAGAACTGGCAAGAAACTCTCCGCCACTCTTTTTAATCGCCAAGTTTTGAGCCATAAAAATTGTTTGAACTGAAGCAAATCAATCCCAAGGATTATGATTATTTAAATAATCATCAAATTTATAAAAAGCTTTATTAAATAATTTACGTTTAACGAGAGTACAATGGTACCTCGACATACGAGTTTGATTCGTACCGTAACTTATCTCTTTTGTCAAATTGGTCATATCTAAGCGATTTTCCCAATTGAAAATAATTGAGATGCCATTAATCCGTTCCAGCATCCACCACACCACCTGTTGTTTTTGTTGTGTTTTTGAATAAGAAAATGATTTCACGCTTTAATTCAATAGCATCATCTTCTTCGGACCCAAGGTTGTAAAAATAAATGTGATAATGTTATGTAAATGTACAAAAAACGCGAACCCAGATCAAAACTGCTGCGAAGGGAACCCAGCAAAAGTTAGTGTAGTGTGCATCGAACCTACGACATCAGGGATGAGAGTGGAACATTGACACTACGCCAACACTGCTCTTTATTAACTTTATTGCAACAATTTATAAAAAAAAAGAAATTGGCATAATTTCTTACTAAGTAGTATTGAAATGTAATAAAATATATGTTTTACCTGTGCAACGCAATGACAGAAATCTTCATACTGACGTTTCAACATATACTGTTGCCACGATGGAGTGAGACCAGCAGGAAGAGTTTTCAATGTATATCTGGCTCTTTCTCTTTCTCTAATCACTTCTTTAGTCTGAAATTTCAGGGAAAAAATTTAAAAAGTTTTCCTATGAAAATACAATGAAACAAATTGAACTATAACCACCATGTCTATGGTTCGAACTCACCACCAGAGTCGAGAAAACGTTTTTTTTTTTGTTTTTAACAAACGTAACATTAAGAAGTCGGTTAAATAAAAAGCAGTATCTATATATATTTTATTATTAATTAAAATCCAATTGAACCCCAAAAAGGGCGGGCGGCGGTGTCACTTAACATCGTCTGTTGCTTTGTAACGCAGAGAAGTTGCTATTTCTTCACCATTAGCCCATAATGCAATTTGAGTATTAAAATTGGATCCGGATAGTTACCGAATATCCGTTTCATCTCTAATATATCATAGACAATAAAAAAGAATAAATCCACTTTTCTTATTTAATCATACCTGTATGCTATAAACTGGCAACATTTGTATATGCATATTATTCAGCATATTCTTGGCTTGAGCGACCAAATGGTCTCCGCCAACGGGCGATCGTACGGCGGCGTTCACCAACGCGTATCTGTTTATATAAAAATAACTATATTAATTATTTTACATACATTACATGTTATAGTTTCTAATAAATTTATGGACAAACATAATTTTGTTTAATAAACAAATTTGGAAGCCTAAAGTAGGCCAAAAAAAATGTTTGTTTATAGAGAATTTCTCTAAGAATCCCTCCACCGTATGCGACAAGATATTCACAGTTGTTTCATGTGTCTTGTAAAACACGAATTACCTTCATGATTCGCCAATGTTTCGAGTTTTATCTAACTATGACACTAATAATGAAGTTGTTGATATTTTCACCTCGCCAAAGGGCATGTAAGGAAATATATGAAGAGGCGGGAAGACTGACTTTGTTTAGCAGTAACAATTTAGTTTTCTCTTTATAATTATGTATTAATTGTTGTATGTTTAAGGTTTATAATTTTAATTGTTGAATGTTTAAGGTTTATAATTTTAATTATGTATTAATTGTTGTATGTTTAATGTTTTATTTATCAATTATTTTGACTTTGTGTCTAGTGTTTTGGTTTGTAATATGGATATGTGTTACCTGTAAGCTTACTAATAAATAAATAAATAAAATGTCAGTAAAAAACCATTACTAAATAAATAATAATAAATATTCCTTGAAATACATAAAATAAAAAAGGGTGTTGAAAACCTAGCTTAGGCCACAAAAGCTATAAATTAGCACAAAAACCGGAAAACAGTTTTTAGATGTTATGAAAACTAGCATAGTATTTACAATATTCACTTAACTTATATTGTAAAAATAACAATAATTTAAATATATTTAACAAGTTTGGTCAATGTGGCAAGAGCAAAAACATTGAATCTGACAAATGTAAGAAATCTAAATATGAATTGCTTTTTTTATGTAACAGAAGGCAAACGGGCAGGGGCTCATCTGATGTTAAATGGTTCCACCACCAAAGGATACTCACATTGCCACAAGGCGGGCAGTGAGTAGCCGGTCTTCAATATTTTTTACATTTACAATTCTCTTGATACAGAACCAATAATGCATTTTAGATAAAGAGTACTATAGGTCGGTTATCGAAAGCTGGCGCGTTCACAGTACTCACACTAATGCAATTTCACATACAGTATGTTTCAAAATATGATTTTTTTGCCAAGCTATATATTTTAGTCTACTCTGGTTTAAGTAAGGTTGGGTGGGTTGTAAATAAATAAAAATGTGTCAAATACATATAAATGTTATGTACATACGAGGGTAGATCCAAAAGTTCTAAGCCCAACCAAGAACGTAAGAGTAGTTTGTGTAAATAATTTTTCATTTTTCGACATAAGCTCCATCTAGCTCAACACACTTCACTTTTCCTTCACTAACAATTCTTTCAATACTCCTCTTAGAAACCCCAGTCGCATCTGATGTCAAATTAAAAATAAAATTTTTTCATTAAACTGTTTTTATTAAGATGCTTAAAATAATTAAAAACATTGTGCACCATTTCACGAGATTGTCCTGTTAATGTTTTGCCGGAACCAATTATTTCATAAGACATTTTTTTCTAAGTATTCTAACCTCCAACCAAATAAGTAAACAATCACAGACAAAATAATAATGATAAAAAAGATCAACATACACAGTAAAGATCAACATAAGTAGCAAAAGCAAAACAATAACTGTCTCTTTTATACTCATAAGCTTGACCGAGCGCGGGAGAGACGGACCGTCTTTTCATGATGCATATTCAGTTTGACATAACGCCTCGCGCTTATTCACAGACACTACACAAGCACAAAGTGTAAATGTGTTGAAGCCGCCAGCTTTAGATAACATACCAATAGTACTTTTACACTTTTACCAAAATTGCTTATTAATCAAGAAATTTCAAAATCCTTGTAATATATTTTGATTAAACAGCTACTCACCCATCCACAACTGGAACAGCCGATGTCTGACTTGCTCCAGCATCTATCACCAGCGCTGTAGACTTTCCATTAGCGAACGCTGCAAGTACCGCGTTCTTCACAAGGAAGAATGCTGGTGCCTGATACTTTTCAAATAGAAGTTCGGCCAATTTCTCTCGAGTAGGTCTTGATGTCCATACAGCCTCAGTGAAAAGGGCTGGATGGTGTTCCGATGGAGATCGAATGACCTAAAATATATCACAAAAAGACAGTCTTAAAATATATAATATATGTATTTATATTACCAATTACTTATGGTTTGATTTTTCCCAGTTTAAGCTGCAAACACATAGTAAATACAACAGAACTCGTATATATCATATATTTTGTATATATGATGCAAATTTCATCAAAATCGGTTCACGAGTTTTTGAGATATGTAGGCACACCTTTCTGGAGGGATATGGGTACCTACATACTACAGATACAGTAAATCTTATAAATAGTTTTAGGTATATACTTTAAATTGTACAATCATTGGAATCTGTATCAGTAAACCTACCTTTGCGTAACAATAGTCCAGCATCTTTTCAAACAGATCCCAATTCTCAATCTGTCCATCTTTCATATAAGTCTGGACTTCCATACTTGGCCTGGGTACATGTAATTCTGTGACGTCGATGTAATGCCTGAGCTCATTGCCGGTTTTTGTACCTGAAAACATTAAGTAATGACTGAAATGATATATATTTTTCTGCATTTTCATTAAACTACTATATCATCATTGAATTACAGTGAAAATCTGTTATAACGACATTGAAGAGACTACTCATATTTGGTTGTGAAAACCGATAGTCGTTACGGGCAATGGCATTGTTATTAAGTACCACATAAAGTAATACATTAGAATTCAGCCGGGACCTTTGATTTTGTTAAATATAACCGGTATGTTGTTCTAAACAATGTTGTCGTAAACGGTTTTGACTGTCTTATCAAAGTACTTATTGTCTTCTAATTTCTAGTTGTTTAATTTTAAAAGCATACATATTATATTCTAATTACAGTTTGCAATTGTTTGTTACTCTTAGCTCTCTTTTAGTAGTGGTTCCATTCTATAGGCTTATTACTATTTTACATTTATTATTTTTATGTAGGCCAACCACTGTGAACATAATAATAATAAATACATATAACAAATGAATAGGATTAGAACAAGAACTATGTATTCTTTTTAACTTCTTATTTCTGATTTACATAAATGACCTCCCATTCTTTGTCAACGAAGTTCATGAGATGGTATTGTTTGCTGATGACACTTCACTTCTATTTAAAGTGAATAGGAATAACATATTATTGGACGATGTAAACAATTCTATCTCTCGTATAGTTAACTGGTTTAATGTAAATAACTTATTGCTTAATGAGAATAAAACAAAATGTATTAGATTTACAACTACTAGCGTAAAGCGAGATATTGGTAACCTGAAAATTAAGGACAGTGAACTAAACTTTGTTGACAAAACTGTTTTTCTAGGCATAACAATAGATAGTAAACTCCAATGGGGCCCACACATAGAGACTCTTTCGAATAGGCTGAGCTCTGCAGCATATGCAGTAAAGAAAATCCGACAGTTTACTGATGAGGACACGGCTAAAATTGTGTACCATAGCTACTTTCATAGCGTTATGTCGTACGGCATTTTACTGTGGGGTGCTGCTGCAGAGGTTCAATCCATATTTGTGCTGCAGAAGCGGGCTGTTCGGGGTATTTGTTGTGTTTCTCCGAGGGAGTCGGTACGGAATAAGTTTAAGGAATTAAATATTATGACACTATCTGGTCAATATATTCTTGAAGCCTTGTTGTATGTCCAAAAAAAATATAAACGATTTTAAAACAAATGGTGACTTTCACCAGTATAATACGCGAAATAGAACTAATTTGAGTGTACGACCAACCAGGCTCCAAAAGATAAACCACTCCTTATATGGAAATTGTATTCGTTTTTACAACAAGCTCCCAAGCGAAATTAGAGAATTATCACTAAATAAATTCAAAGCCCTCGTTAAACGAAAATTAATCAACAAAGCTTTTTATAAATTTGAGGACTACTTAAATGATCCTAATCCTTGGGATTGAATTGCTCCAGTTCAAACAATTTGTATGACAATACTTGGCGATTGAAAAGAGTGGCGGAAAGTTTCTTGCCAGTTCTTCTTACCCGCTCTACGCCCTTGACTTGCGAACTGGTAGTAAATGTAAATTTACGATTAATTTAACTTGACGATTCAAAAGTGTACTTGGTTGCCTACTTGAATAAAGATATTTTGAGTTTGAGTTTATCTAGAATTATTTTTTTATATGTGAGGTATTGTGATTACTTTTGAGCTTTCTATCCTTTCCAAAACATTGAGTCACTTGTTAAATTCTGTTAATATTAGTGCTAACCTAGTGCTTCAGTGTGTTATTATTAACCCTTAGATTGTATATTAAAATGCCAGGTATCAGATAATAATTGTGCGTTGTGTGCTTACCATGTGCATTGTAAAACTTGCTGGAACAATAAAGGAAAAGATTTTGAAGAAAAAGGCTTGACTTAAAAGTTGAAATCTATAATTTGTCTTGACCACGATAGACAATGTATCTTTGTATTTACCTATATAGAAAAAGCTATTATGAGCAGTTGCAGAAATATATGGTAGCCAGTGTTATTAAGGGTAGAAAATTTGCTAGTATAGGTTGCTTCGTAGCAGGGCTGCCAGAGGAAAAAAGCATGATCATACACCAACTACAAAATAATCATATTCCAAGGAAATTTTGAAATGAAAAGATTGTACAACATAAAAGTCGAAAGTTTTTATTTAAATTGACTTGCTGCCTTTGCCTTAAAAAGTGTAACTTTATAACTCCATATTCTGAAACCCATTCAATGTCACAAACAGTGCACCTGGCTTTAAATTGGTTATTACCGCGCCCTAACCAGTCCTTAAATAAGTCTAATTTTTCTCAAAAAAAAAATCCCCAGACAATACTTCTGTGCTCTGTGTATGTTCATCTCTGTTGCAGAAAGCTCTCCTCTTTTGGGTAATTTATTTTTTGGAGTACCTGGCGCAGGTCGCTCTTCTTTATTTTCACTACCCATTCTTGCTTAAGAGTAGTGAAGTAACACAAAAAACACTAAAGACAATATGCAGATCAAAGAGGATATAATCACTTAGAGCTTGAGACTGATGAAAAAAATAATAAGTTTTGTAACACTGCACACAAATACAGACATTATATGAAAAAAGGGCCTTCAGGCGTTAGGGTCTTCATTCAAGTAAAAGAACTAGGCATAGGTTAGGTAAGGTTGTTGGGGAATTCCCTGAACATAACACTTGCTGGAAAAATCGTACATTTTCTGTACGATCTTGGTCTAGCGATCGTACATGAGTAAAAATGACAAAAAATCGTAGGAGTACGATTTCAATCGTACATCTGGCAGCCCTGGCTTTTTAGTCGTAATAATCAAGAAATCTTTTGTATTTACCACTCTGTGTAACATTGCCATCAGGTACTTTCTGCTCTGCGTCTGGAATAAGAGGTGCCGGCCCGACGCCGATTACAGCAGGAATATCAGCTTTTGGAGTATCTTCTTGCGCGTAACCAACCCGTAATGAGTGATGCCCAGGATCAAACACTAGAGCACCAATTTCGTCACCACCATATAACATCCCATTGGGACCACTCATTTTGAAATATTATCTTAAAACTGATTAGTAGTTGTACTTAAGTTCAACACAATAAAATTAACTATTCGGCGCTACGGCCTGATGCAAAGCGGCGTTGTTTGAGACTACTACGATTATTTATGATTTGTCATTTGACAGCTGCAAAACTGATTTTATACAATTAAACTGACAGTTTCAGATACGACCTACACCGTAAACGTAAACCTTTATCCACGGCAAAATTTAGGCAAAGTAATAAATAATTTTAACTTAAGAATTGTATTCTCTGTTTTGTACTTCGTTTTGTATAAGAACGAAATTATTCAATTAACTTTTTATAAAAAGCAATGTTCCACGAAACTACGCTTATCACTTAATTTGACATCTGACAAATGAAGAGCGATTGCCATTTGTGGTTTGCTGACCAATCAATATAAATAAAATGGCCGCCTTATGGTGCAGATTTCTCTCATTTACGTAGTGCAGAAAATATTGCTTGCTTTATTTTATTAATAGTTATATCAAACTCTTTCTTAATTACAGTATAACTTAATTAGAACTCTCCAAGTGATAGAAACTTCATAAATTGTTGCCATTAAAGGTATGTGTGATTTGTTGCAATAATACAAAAATTAATACGTCCACGTAAGTGTTGCAAGAATTTTTAATAAACTTGTCAAAACTAAAAAATAAGCTCATGGTTTGTTTACATTTGAATTTAACCGAGTAAAATTAATTAAAAAGAAACCAAATGATTTTTTCTAGCAGAAATAAGCTAAATATGGCGGCGGTGACCTGATGATTAAAATTAATGTGATTCCTTGATATTATCCATTTCCCATGTCATTCGTTTCTATGTTTCACCCATGCATTAACACCTTAATGAACATGTTCCTTATTTTCCTAATAAAAAATTGGTAATTTTATCATTAAAGATTTACACATAGTATACATAATTAATTTTTATCATTTGGTATATCAAATATCTATCCTTAAATATATAAATACTCTACAACTCTGTGAATGCTACATACATTAATACATTGCAAATTTAATAATTATTGGGTGTCTTTTTCGTTTCCTCTTTTTCTTTTACCAATATAATTACATTAGATGACATATTACAATAACATAAGAACAATGTAACCAGACCATATTTAATTAAGTAAAATTTTAAGTATTTGATATATTCAAATATGGAGTGAAGGAATCTAGTAATGCATTAGTCCCTTTTGCATGTTTCATTGAAATTATCCAAGAAAATATCCAATATCAAGTCAGTCTGACTAATTTTTGTATTAAAATTAAACTCAGTTCATTTCTCGGATGGTTATACCCCTAGTCCAATTAATTAAGCTCTTGAGGAGTCTTTCATATCTTTATATAAAATAATTTTGAATGAAAAGATGAGATTTGTAGTCTAAATTGTGCAAACTGCTTTATTTCATATGAATTTGGGGATTACTTTGAAGTAAGTTTGAGTAAGTAGCGAGATGAATATTTTTTAAGTAATGAATGAGTTTTTTATTAAAAATACAATAACGAACTTATATCAGCTTATAGGCTATATTCAGATAATCAAAATTAAGGGAGACTACTGTAGTGTGTATTAACTACTAACATAAAATAATTATGTATTTTAAATCTTTATAATATTTTGCAAGATGGTTTGTGGACTCAGTTTCCGCACTTAGACGCTCAATAGTCTGTTGTGCGTATATTTTGCAAGAATTAGTATAACTAATTTTAACCATATAATGATAATATTAACCCTTATATCAAGTATAGATACATATGTAATAATAACCAAGGGGAGCAAGCTTTAGTTCAAAGTGTGACTTCTAATAGGATGAAATTCAGCTCCTGATGCTTTGGAACTCTTCTTTTCCTTTCCTCTATAAACTGCCCATATCATAGTCCCAACACAACACAAATCAGACATAATTCTTATGCCTTTAGTAGGGCCTGTATTGTAAAATTTCACTTAAACTGAAATATATTCAACAGAAGTCAAACCATTTTTTGTTATTCTTATAACCATTTATGAAGTTTGGCATTTTGAGATTGTGACTTGAGATACTAATTAGAATATTGACCATGATGTCTTCATTTGTTTTTTTTTTTTTTTTATAAGTAATTGTGTAATTGTAGATTGAACAATCAACACAATAAACAAAGATAAGTAATTGTAGACTAACAATGGTACCCTAGTAGAAATCAGGTGGCCGCGTTTTTCCTTAATTATTTGAGTTTTGTTTTGTTTGTGTACACAAAATTACTTAAAAATATATATTTGTTTTCAGTTTGTGTGACGATTGAACATGTCTGATGAACAAGGTACATCACAAGAAGCATTATATGAGTTAAAAGACGGAAGTAAGTTACTAATTGTTACCATTAAAAAAAAACAAATTAATTATTTCAATAAGTCTACCAACTTTAAAAGGCTAGCATCACCATTGCAAAATTTCTGGCTGATTTTTTATAGGCTTACCATCTGGTGGGTCTTCTGCCCTTTACCCACAGTTCTGTATAACAATATTTTGTGTATAGGGTTAAATTATTTACACAAGTTTCATTTACAATTTACGCTAATAGCTGGTTCACAAACTTTAGCTGAAATGTTTTATATTTGCAAATAACACATGCTCTAAAAAATAATTTAATAGGCAATTAGGTGATCAGCCTTATCTGCCTGACACACATACGTCTAAGGCTGGTTTCTTCAGGCAGGCTTTCACAATAAAACCGAGTAAATTGCACATTGAAACTTCATTGGTGAACAGCCAGGGATCGAACCTATGATCAGGTATAACAATCGCCAGATACCACTAGCCTATTGCTCCTTTAGATATTAAACTTTGATAAATGGAAATTTCTTGTTACTATCAATACCAAGTGTTTTGCAGGGAGCATTACTGGTGCCATTTTTAATGTAAAATTTGTAATTCCAGGTAATTTAGAAATTGTTGAACTACAATGTGAAAAGGGTCTTCAAGAGGTGAGTTGTAGACTTAATGGTGAAGTCGTCCAAACATCTATAATAATAAAAAAACCCTTTATTCGCTTTCCTTTTTAACTTACATGCTATTCTTATTTAATGGTAATAAATCTAATTTAAATAGCGAAAATAATAATTTATTAGCAATCACTTTGGTCAGGTTGTCTGTCGACATAGGCCTCCCCCAATTGTTTCCACGTCTCTCTATCCTTGGCAGACCTTCTCCATCCTTTTGGTAGATCGTCCTCTCATCTTTTAATTTGATTTAGTTTTTTTTCCCGTTCCTCGGATACCACTCCATTACATCCTTTGTCCAAACATCTAACCTTATAATGGATAAATTCAGATCAATTCAACATAAACTAAGGCTGAATTTAGTCTCACGCTCACCGTCAGCGCTCATAGATCAGCGAGTAGTTCGTCAGCACTGACGCTCAGCGTGGTTCGTTTTAGTATCGTACTGTACAGACGAAGATCAAAATGCGGAGTGTATTAGTTATTGCTGCTTTGTACTACCTATCTCAAAAAAATAAAAACCGGCGACGACGAAGACTTCATGTTCATCCATTGATTGAGCAGAGAGCCGTTGCAGGAGACTTTCCTAAAATATTTTCAAACAATGTGTCGACAATGTCCTCCCAGGCTTTGTTTCTTGCATCTTTATTTTTGTAGAGTGGATCGGATGCATCCCACAATTTCTTCCTCAGGCGTACCTCGTCGATAACTCGACCTGTATCTACTTCGCGATTTGCCATGACTGTACACGCTGACGACGTCCGCTCCGCTCGACACTACAACGCTCACTGAAAGCAGAGGCGCTCTAGCGATCGGCCGCGCAGCCATCGGCGCTGACCACCGTGCGCGCTTATAGCTACGCGTCATTCAAAAACGCTTTCTAGAAGTTCATATATCTCGACCATCAGCGCCGACGGTACGCGTGCGGTCGGCGTGACACTAAATTCAGCCTAAATTATTATTTAGTTTCAATCTGTCAAATTGTGTGCTGTGATGAAAATAGATACAAAAGTTAAAAGAATGCAATTATGTTGATTATTTTTTTATTAAAAAGGTGAAAAAATACTCAATTGACATATTAGCAATGTCACCACCAGAACTATCAAGTTGATAGTTCATCATTTAATAAAATATAATCTTATAATTATAAAAAACTAAGTAGGGGATCGGCTTCAGGGTCTCGTGCCTTCCAGTCTTCGCAAGCTGCTCCATGTTATCGGGGCCTCTGCATGCTACATGGTTGCCACTTGTGGTAATGAAAATGTCAATTTCAGGAAACACCAGTCCTATATGACGCAAATAGCGATTACCAAAATGTTTCTTGTATGGAAATTGTCGACGAATCAGGGAAGAGCAATGTGCTGGATTTGCTTAACATGACCCTCATCAAGTGAGTATTTGAAACGCTTTTTAACGCCATGTTTTACACGTTATAATAACGCATTATTTTTCATGTCAAATAGCCTATTAGAGAATCACTAGCGCTGAACTGGGAGGGGAGTAGACGATTTCTGTGCTTGAAATTTCGAATGAAATATTCGTAAATTTTTCTGTTGCTACAGACTCTTAGGTTATATCTATTTCTTAATAGGCATCACCTTTGCCTGATTGGCTCCAGTATTAGGATGTACTGCCTACAACCTTTTAGCTCTGGACCTCTTATGTATCTCTTTCATGAGGCAAGTAGGTGATCAACCTTTGCCTGATTGGGTCTTAAGGTATTTCGATGTTTTCTTTCAACGAGACTTAGACTTAGAGAAATCTATTGGAGCTGGTTCTACCTCAGGAGCCACTTAACTATTTACAATTAATATTTTAGATGTTACACCGCAGAGGGTGAATCCTATCGTTTGGTGGCGAGCAATTCTGAGTGTGACGACTCGGAGGCAGTGACGTGTATATTGTCAAACGAAGGAGATGGTGAGATTTTGTTCTGTATATTTACATTAACGCCCATGGTCACATTGCCAGGCCTTATCTTATTCAGGTCAAATTATTTACCAATTTTGAGTCTGTTAGAGAGTGCTGTAGATGTTGGAGAGAAGACATTATTCAACACTTTAGTACTTTTAAAAACTTAGTCATATGATGTTCTGATGAATATTCCAAGTTCCAGTCAAAATCGGTTTAATAGTTTTTGAGGTATGGCCGCATTTCTAGGAGTGTTTCTGTAGTTATTTTTTTTCTAGATTACCTTTACTTTTTAATAGGGATGCATCGATACGCTTTTTTGCCGATACGATACCGATGCCGATACACTTATAGGAATATCGTCGATACCGATACAGATACCAACGCTTATTGAATTAAAATTAAATTAAGGTAAAATATATCAAGTTAAGTTAAAGTTTATAATTTTTATTAAAAAAATATACATATATACAAAAAATAGTCACAAACTTTGAATAATTTGAAGGGTTTTGTTACTAAAATTAAGAATTAAGAGTAATAATTAAATTTAAATAAAGTAAATAACTGTTAATAATTAAAATTAACAATGATAACATTGTTGTAATCCTGTATTTTATTAAATTTGGTATCGAAAAAATACTACTCGCGATAGCAGTTAAAAGCCAACTAAATGATCTTCAAATCTACGTTCAATAAAGTCTCAATGATCTCCCGCAAGTTATAATATCTAATAACTATGCGCTGGCAAAGATAACTGACTCGAGTAAAAATTTTGGTCTACTACTAAATCCGACAAGAGTTTTTCGTACTAACTACTAACTGACGTGAGACTGATCGTAAATTATCGTGATTCATGTGCACTTTTTATTTTTCATGTAGACTTTTTTTGTTTATATGTTATATGTATTTTTGCCCTACTTTTCATTTAATTATGTTCAATTTTTATATTGTAATGCAACAAAGTGTTAATAAATAAATAGTGTTTAGCGAAATGAAATACATAATGAATAAAACGCGGGGATTTCTCGGGCAACAATAGTCTGTGGCTCGTTTGCAACAAACATTATTTTTTTAAAGCGTGAAATTTGAAAAGTATCGGTGAATCGGCAATGAAAATATCGCCGATGCCGATACATCGGCAAACCCAAAGTATCGCCGATATATCGGTATCGGCATCGGTATCGGATGCATCCCTACTTTTTAATAAATAATTCTAAACTACCTTCACATTAATAAGTAATTTAACCTACCCTCACATTTTGATATATTCTAAACTATCTTCACTTTTTAATAAGTAATTGTAAACTACCCTCGTTTTAATAAATAATATTTTTCAGATCAAGAACAATTTGTGATTGTGGACGAAAATGATATATATCTACAAGACGAATATGCTGAAAACGATGAAAATCCAAAAACAGAGACCGTGGTAAGTAATAAATTTTATCGCGATGATTTAGTTTCTAGTGCGACCTTCACCCCTGAGGTAGAACTGTACCAATAAACATCTCTTTATCTAACACTCGCTCATATGAAGAAAAATATCATACAAATTTATACCCAATCAGGCAAAGGCTGATTACCTACTTGCCTATTAAGAAATAAACAGATCTATAACGTAGCGATTCATTTTGTTTATATTAGCAGCACATTTGTATCCTCTATTACATTTTACTAAATTTGCAATAAATTTCTCGATTAAATGCTATTTAACAATAAATTTGCGATTCCCTTCAGCAGAACAACAAAAGCTAAAACCTCGGATGTGGTTTGATAAGTCTATTTAATTGCAGAACCAGCAACCGAGCCCGGAATGGATATTGGAAAAGGCGAAAGCGTATCAGCAATCGAAGTAAGATTCATTTTATATTTTCTAGGAATAAGCAATTTATACCTAAATAGTAAAAAAAGAGTACTCGAGAACATGGGGTGTTTGAGGTCATACCTTAAAACGCGCTATCGAAACATTTCCAGCTGAGCGTATATACATCTCGACATTTCGGATTAGTCAGTGGATAGACTGGTCGAGGATCCTCTCCTCTGGTTGGAGGATCGGTATACCTTTCTCTATATGTCGGTACGATGACGTCATACCTTAAAACACGCTATCGAAACATTTCCAGCTGAGTATATATACATCTCGACATTTCGGCACAGTCAGTGGTTAGACTGGTGACTGGTCGAGGATCCTCTCCTCTGGTTGGAGTATCGGTATACCATCCTTCCTCTGTAATCTGTATGTCGGTACGATGACGTCACACCTTAATTCGCGCTATCGAAGTGTTTCTCGCTAAGCGAATATACTTCTAGACATTCAGCACAGTCAGTGTCACACTACGGCTCCCTCCAGAGGGGCGAGCTTTGGCCCGTTCGGAGCATATGCATTATGCCCCCTTCGGGTGGTGTTTTATGTTCGCGCCCTGCTGATACAGGGCGGGCATTAAAGCCCTTGGTGAGGGCGGGGAGACGCGGTCTCCACTCGCTGCGTGCAGCCGATTACGATTGATTTTTGGGAATAATATTCACCATATTTCCTAAGCGCGTGTTATAGAACCAGCAGCGCCATCTATCGAGAAAGTTAAAAATTATATAAATCTAAAGCCAAGAGACCGCGTCCTACTTTTTTATTCTTAAACTTCCTATGGTAGAGGAAGGAAGGAACTGCTTTTCTTTCGTCTCTTCTTCCTCCAAATACCTAACCACTAAGTGGCCATTGGGCCACCAAGGCCATGGCCGAGGGCCATAGACCTCAAGAGCTGATGTCGATCCATCGCAGTATTTGTAGCCGTAGATTTAACCGTAAACTTTTCCTCAGGTCTCTTCTAGCCAGCCTTCAAAGGCGTGAAAGTAAAGGCCGCAGACGCAAAGGTGAACTGCCACCTCCACACGAATTACTAACATCCCCGACTTTCAAATTGTATCTGTATTCGTGTAAAATGTGCAATTTTAAATGTAATGCGATTAAGGAGTTGCAGGCGCATCGGGTGAGTGATAAATATATATTATAAAAAACTACTATGATTTGCATTGTTTACTTCAAAACTGCTGAATCGATTTAGATAAAAATCATTAATAATATGACTGTTAAATTACATTTGTAGACAAAAGTGTATAAAAGCCTAAATCATATTTTGGAAATTATCGTAATAGTCCATTTTACATGATAACAGTGCTGTAAATAATCATTAGTTTATCAAAAAAGCCACAATTACTTCGGTCACGTGACACGAAACGCTCAGATCCGATGACGTAGCATGCTTGTAAATAATCTCTAATATAACTTCGGGGTAATTAAATGAGCAGCGTTGGTCTATAACTACAGCGTGCGACTCATTCCTGAGAGGGATGTGCACTAATGGACTTTCTATGTACGCATTTAATCTTCGCTTGAATTGTGAAGGAAAACATTTTGCCCGACAGTCGACGGCCTATTAGTTTGACGAAATCATTAGATACAGAAATCTGAGGCACAGACCTAAAAAGGTTGTAGCGCCACTGATTTATGAGTAAAATAACAGTGATATAAATCTTGACGTGTTTACAAGCATGTTACGTCACAGATGCGTCGCCATCTTGGATAGTAGTTTTAAATCATAAATGTTTAATTTGGAAACCACTTTGTATAATATATAGTCACTAATATATCTGTTGTTTTTTGTCCAGGCCGCTGAACATATTGGCGGGAATTCGTACCGCGGTAGAAATTCTACAATAGCTCTGCAATGTCCAAAGTGTCCATACAGGGCACACACTCATGGCCAGGTGAGGCAGACTAAACTATTTCCGTCTCTTTCAGTCACGTTGCGATGAAAAGAGACAGCAATGGGACTGATAGTTTAATCTCAGTCTCTTTCAAGATAGCTAATCTTAAACATAGATGGCGCTTTTTAAATTAATAATTTAGTGTAAATAATAAGGAATTATCAAATTATAGAGACATAATATCTCATTAGTTTTGTCATATCTAAAATTTCAAAAATGCTGATACTAGTGATATTTCTCTAATTCTCATACTTGTAAATTTTCACGAATTCTAATATTTTGGCTTTTGACAAATCATTTTGAAATATAACATTTTATTAAACATGTTTATATTCGTGAGACACTTTTACTAGTTTTGACATGAGACATATTTCTTATCTAACCTATGACAATTTAAATGTTTCAGCTGTCAAAACACATAACTCAAAATCACGTTAAACGCGAGACGGATGTGACCTACAGCGAAGCGATAAATTTGGACACAGACGAAGTAAATGCAGCCGATGTTTTGGTCTGTGGCGCGTGCGGGTTCGAATCCCCGTCGAAGGAGGTTTTCCGAACTCACATACAGACGGAGCATGGCGCTATGGCTTGTTAAGAAATAATGGAAATACTGTCTAATTTAATCTTACTTAAGTAATCTATACAAAACATAAAAGGTGTACCACAGGGCTCTCACCTAGAGCCAATACTATTTCATATATATGTAAATGATATAGTAACCTTTTTAGGCATTCTAATGAGTATATGTGTCCAGATGATCTTAAGTTATGTCGTGTAGTAACTTCGAGGATTACTTCTTCTTTTTGTAGAATGGACAGGAGGCTCTCGCCTGCTGTTAGGCTGGTTTTAGTATCACGCTGACTGCACACTCACTGTCGGCAGTAATAAATATATGAACGCGTTTTTGAATGACGCGTAGCTGTCGGCGCTGATCATCGCACGAGCGCCTCTGCCTTCGGTGAGCGTTCTAGTATCGAGCTGAGCGAACGTCGTCAGCGTGTAGTCATGGCGAATCGCGAACCGAATACAAGTCGAGTCATTGAGATACGCCTGAGAAAGAAATTGTGGATCCATCCAATCCACGCTACAAAAATAAAGACGCAATCAAAGCCTGGGAGGATATTGTCGAAAATGTGTCTGGAGAAGAAAAATGGATGAACATGGAGTCTTGGTCGCTGATTTTTATTTATTTGGCGTAGGTTGTACAAAGCAGCAATAATTAATACACTCCGCATTGTTGGCCGTCATCTGTACAGTACACTGAAACGAAAACTTTACGAGATTAAAACCAGCTTTAAGGCTAGGTTAAGACAAGTGTAACGTGTAATGTAAGGCCGGGTATCGACTATGCGCTCCTCGAGCGCGCGCCTTGGATTGCCGCGCCGAGAGAACGTTCCGCGGAACATTTGAAGTTTATCAACTAACCGCGCGGCAACTGTTCCAGTGTTCGACTCTTCATGAATCAGCAGTGAATGGGACTCCCGTGGTATGGTATGTTTGCTGGACTCAGTTTCCGTACTTAGTTTCATACTCGGTCCGAGGTGCGTAAGGTCCTGGCTAATTAACCAAGCCTAGCTCTTTCCAGAAGCACAGAACTCTCCAGGGCATGGGACTCCCATTTCACTACGGATTTCTCTCTAAGCGATTTATTACGACGAACTTTTTTTTTTTTAAAGACAATTCACACCAATTGACCAGTCCAATGCTAAGCTTGTGTTATGGGTACTAGGCAACGGATATACACATATTATAAATAGATAGACATATAAATACATATTTAAACACCCAAGACCTAAGCACCATGCTAAGCCAAATGCTCATCACATCGATGTTCGTCTCAGCCAGGGATCGAACCCGGGACCCATGGATTCGCAGTCAGGGGTCACTAGACCAATGAGTCGTCTTTTACTACTTTAATACTTTTGGTATTCCACAGTGGTTCTTTTCTACAGCGTATTAATTTTGGAACATGGGGGAATGGTTGCCGCTCCTTACAAACATTGTATAAAAAACCATGGCGATTAAAAAAGAGTGGCGGAGAGTTTATTGCCAGTTCTTCTCTTCCGTTCTACGCCCTTGATTTGAGAACTGGCACTAAATGTAAAGTTAGAAGCATTTCATATATACTTCTTTTTTTGACGTTCATAAGTGAACATTGTTACATGATTAAATGATTTTGACTTTTCCGCAACTTTCGTTATCCATATTGAAAACGCAACAAACACAAAAAATAAAACGTGCCCGTCTCAATTGCCGCGCGCCACGCCTGATCCGCGCTAAAAACCGACACCTGTCAAACGAAGCGTTCGTGGGTTCCAACGAACACATCGCGCGTTCCAAAGTGGTATACATTTCGCGCGGCTGGAACGTGCGCCATTGTTCGCTCTTTTGGAGCGCGTAGTCGATACGGCTTAAGATTTTATGAGTAGTTACTACGAACTTGCCGAACAGGAAGGTCGTGATAGCATGAGCTGCTTTTATTTCTATGTATTTACTAACTGAAGACCGGAAGAATTTGAAGCGTCAATGGTGGACAACTAAATTGTATAAAAGATCTTTACTTGTGGAATTAATATCTATAGTATGTTATGTGTAATGCAATAGAAATAATTAAAATAAAACATCTTTTCCGGAACTATGACTATTCTTTTTCCCTTCGATGTGAAGCAAGGTAATCATTTTGTTCTTGCATTCTTCTACATGAATGAACAATATTGATTAGGAAGAGATTAGAGTGATCCAAGCATCGTATTTCAGATTTCTTCAAATAACAGATCTTTTCTTGATACAAACTATAAAAAATAAAATATGTTTATTTTGGAACATAAGATACATGTATCACTTATTCCACGTCATTAAATTTGAAGGCATCCCTACTCATTGGCAAAGAAGACAGAGGGTGTAGGCCAAGAGAAAAAGCCGGCGTAAAAAACTCTCGGTACTCTTTTAAAACAGAAAATCATCAAACAACACTTATTTAAAACAAATATCGCAAATTAATTAGAAGTAGCCTGTCTAGCACTAGTCCCAGGCCCTTTTATCGACTAGATAATCGTTGACTTTATAGTAAGCCTTTTTACACAGCTTTTCTTTAATACATTTCTTAAATTTATTGAAAGGCAGTGATAAAAGAGCCTCTGGGATTTTATTAAAGAAGAGTATCCCTTTCCCCAAAAAAGAATTACTAACTTTAGATAGTCTAGTACGGGGGAATTGCAGCCTGCGTTTGTTCCGTGTATTAACATTGTGCGTATGTTCTATTCTAGTAAACTTATCACTATTTTTGTATACATAAATAATATTTTCATAAATATATTGCGAGGGAAAGGTAAGTATATTAATTTCCTTGAATTTATCTCTAAGAGATTCCCTACATTTTAAATTATAGATTGCACGAATAGCCCTCTTCTGCATATAAATATGATGTATGGCGATGTTCAAGGTTCAACCTCTCAAGCATAAGCATATTATGCTCACAACAGTACTTTATTCCCCTACAGGGTAGTCAGAGATATTCTAATACCTCAAAACATCCATGTTGCACTTGTAGTACCCAAACTCTGTCCAGCCAGAGGTGAGCCCATTCCCACTTATAATGGACAGTGGGTATAATACACCTTAACACCTGAATGCGAACCACTCAACATGATACTTAAATTAATAGATGTTATTTATATATTTTAGGATATTACAAATAAAATCATTTTGGAAACAATTGATATCCCAAAAGCAAATAAAGCGATCAATAAGGTAATAAATCAGATTTGACATAACTTGAATACTAGAAAAGCCAGACAAAGGTGTGCACAACAGTGACAACATAGCTTAACAATTTCATTATTTTGTAGGATTATAATCCAAAGGTTAAAGAAAATCATGTCGAACTGAACAACAAGAATCCCCAAACAACTCCAAAGAAACCTACAAGGAAGACACCGGTATTATATTTAAATTATCTCTATCTCTAAATAGAATAAAACAAAGTTGCTATTCAGGTCTGTAGCATGTGCAATTAGTTTTTCTAAACTACACAACGGATTTTGATCTGACTAATATATAGACTGTTCTTTCAGGAAGGATTTGTTTAATATGAATTATAATTTTTTAAGTTTGGCATGGACAGAGCTTAAATTAATATTCTCTTATTTGTTGCAGAAATCAAGTAGTAGTTTTAGTTTTGGAGAAGCCTCGTATCAAGATATGCATAGCTTTCGGGCTCTGGAAAATGAGCGGCTTCAAATAGAACCCAAACATAGAGTTAAGAATATGGCAAAGATGTACAATCAAGTAATGATTAATTTAAAATTACAGACACGAAATACATACAATAAAAAATTTCATCAATAAAAATGGCTCTCACTGCTGCTCCACGCAGTGTATTTTGAGATGAGGGCACTGTTGGTAGTGAGGGCAGGGTCTCTTCATCATCATCAGAGATAGGTTCCTCTTTTAAATCAATGGCTATATTGTGCAATACTGCCAAAGCTACAACATACATCTTAGTGTTTGGTAGAGATGTTCTAAATATATAATAATATATACTTTTAACTTAATAGAATTTATGTTACACTTACTGTAAGAGAATAATAATAAATATTTATTTATTTAATTTTTCAAATGTAAACTGAACTTTATTGACTATAATGACTCCTTTTCCAGTCTTTGATTATTTAATTGTAATTAATTATTTGCATGCAATCAAAAACTATTTTTAATAATGCCAAAGAAGTATAACTTCTTACGCGCGTACATAAGTACACGCACCCTTTTTTTTCTCTATATAAAGATTAAAATAAACAAATAAAAAAATAGGGGTTGATCGTAGAGGGGTGAAAATTAAGTTATTATTATTTATGTATTTTTGTATGCTTTATCTTAAAAAAATAAACATATAAATTTAGGGGTGGACCACCCTTAATATTTAAGGGTTTGAAAGATAGATAGTAGCCGATTCTTAAACTTACTGAATATGCATACAAAATTTCATAAGAATCGGTTGAGCCGTCTCGGAGGAGTATGGGAACGAGAATTTTATATAGTAGATACATAATTTTTTCTTTGTGTCACTGCATTTTTTCAAGAAATAAAACGATAGGAATTTTCACAGAGTACTGACTGAAGCGCGTAACACTCAAAGGATTCTTGGAGCTTGTTTACGCTGTAATGAAAATTGTATTTAAACGTTGCAATTAAATTATTTTTTTATCTTAAGAGGTGTTATATTATAAATAATATAGTAAACGTTAATATTGTTTTTACGTTATGTTTTATATTACGCGATTACTCAAGAGACAAAATTACATGAAAAAATATATGTAGGTTGGTACTACATTTACGTAAATTTTAAGTTACGCTTTTATTCCGTGAATGCGAATAGTCTAAGCATAGGAAAATGTTCCATGTGTTGGTATGTTCCATGTATTGGTAGCTACTAAAAATCCAGGCTAAAAAATCATATTAAGGTGAAACGAAGCTAGTAAACTTAACATTGTGTTAAATGAATCGTAAATTAAATATACTTATTGCAAACAAAATGCGCACGCAATCTATACTAAGATGGCCGCTGCAGCTGTATATATTATTTCGATTCGATTA